GCAATTTTTCTTTCTACAGTACATCCCTCTTGGACAGTCTAATGTTATTTTTTAACTCTACCTGTAGACTTAGACACTCCTGCTTAATTTTGATATTTATATTTTCCAATTGTGGAACAGAGCCCTTTTCCTCCTGACTTTATTCTTAATTTCCTTAGTAAACCACCTTGGTTGTCGTTTCCTAGATTTAGTTTTGCTGGAAACAGGTATGAACTCCTCTTGCACTTGCAACAATGTGCTTTTAAAAAATTCCCATGCCTCTTCAAGCGTTTTGCTAACAGTTTACAGTTTCTAGTTTCAGTCTCATACCATTAAAGTTAGCCTTCCTAACATTGTATACTTTTATTTTGGACTTTGCTCTTCGGATACTAAAATTAACCTTGAATTTATGATTTATGATAAATCCATTTATGATCACTACCGTCCAATGGTTCTAAAACCTCTAATTTTCCAATCCTATCCTGGTTATTAGAGAAAACAAGATCAAGAAGGGTAGGGGTATTAACAAACTGAGTAAAACTGAGTAAAAAAACAATCCTGTACTAATTCCACCATCTCAATTTCATTTACAGAAGAGCCATGTCCCACTGTATCCCAGGTAAATTAAAATCACCCATAACCACCACATCATTTTTATTACTCATAATCCTGATATCATCATATAACATTCTGCTTTCCTCTACAGCTACATTAGGTGATCTATAACAAACACAGACAATTAGGCCATTTGAGTCTTTAGCATCAAGTTTTATCCATACAGCTTCTGTACTTTTATTTTTATCAGTGAGCTCCCTTGCCTGCAAGTTTTCTTTTACGTATACTGCAACACCACCTCCCTTCTTGCCTATCCGGTCTCTACGGAACAACACATAACCATCCATATTATATTCTTCTATATCATTGTCACTCTGTTTCTGTTATTCCTATAATGTCGTGTCTGATGAAATTAAAGCCTAAATCATGAATTTTTTTTCTAATACTCCTAGCATTTAAATACAGACCACAAATGGTAGGCCTTTTACAGTCCCCACTTTTAATATTTATTTGGGCTTTCCATCTCTCCTCACATAAATTAACTAACCTCCCTGCCCCCCCAGTCCCTAGTTTAAACATTCCTCAACTA